CTCAACAAAATGACAGCAGAGAGAAAATGTGCAGAAGATCTACAGATCTTATCTGTGAGAATGTTATGAGGTTAAGTGTACTTGGGTGTGTGTGTGTGTGCGTGCGTGTGTGTGGGTTCGTACACATATACGCTTGTCTCTGAGTGTCTGTGCACCCATTCGATTAAATCCACAGCTATCACTAACAGGATTAGCTGAGTGGACAGCAGAAGTCTATCATTGCTTATTGATTTCCTCTGATTCCCATCAGCCCATCAAGGCAACGTTCTGTTAGCCGCCCCGGTGGGAGTCGCTGCCGGGGGTCCCGAGGTTAACGCATTGTGGCGGATGTATCTGAGAAGCTTCAAAGCAGGTGCCCATCTTTCTGTGTCAGGAAAAGTCAAATAAGTCAAAGCTATCTGGGGCAACAGATGCTTTGGTCTCTCCCCCTCTCTGCGTAAAAAATATAGTGTGACTCCATCTCAACTGGAACACTTGGGGATCAATGTAATCAATGGATTACTACTGTTGAATAACAGCATGTAAATCTCTCCTGACACTTCACAGATCRATGTAATAGTTTCATTCTTGTCGGGTTTTATGAGTGAAACAGAGTTTGGTGGCACTTCTTCATGCTTTGTCTTTGCTCTACATTTAATAACTCATGTTATGATCCACAGATTACTGAATCTATTAAAACTTTCATGTATCACATTAAAATGCAAGTAAAAATTGAAAGCCCTTTATAGAWTGCTTATCACTCACCACCTTTCACATTTTTAAAACAGCTGAAAAAAGTTAATTTAAAAAAAAAAACTGAGTTTATTTTTTTGTAAAAGTAGATCATCTATGATAGAAAAAGGTCTACTACACTTGCATCATTCACTACTAAATCCACTGCACAGTTTGTAAAAAATAAACAAAATTAGCAGAGTCATTTTTTTTGGTCAACAATAATAAGAGTTCGTTTTWCATTTGAACATTCATGAGTTCACTGTGTTGCTGTCCAATGGATATAAAGTTGGTGAAATAATCCCCAGATGAAAACAGTCTGAGGGGAAATAATGGAACCAGAGACCCCAGGTYGAAAGTGAAAAAGCTAAAGTTGTTTCTTTTCTTCTGAAAAGAAACAAAAACTGTGAGGATGAGCAATGGCAGAAATAGTTATTTTGGAGAAATAAATCAAGTAGTGGACAGCGTTAAAGCAAAAGTTGCAAATAAGCTGTGATGAGTTATATGATATAATATAAGGTAACAGAAGTTAATCTGTTGTAGATGAACATCCAGAGGTTATTTTCTGAAAGTTTCATGAAAATTTGTAAAGTGGTTCATGAGATATTTTGCTAACAGACAGACTGGGCTGACAGTAAATGGCAACGTTTATAAACAAAAATGTCTTGCAGACTGCGTAAGAGATCAWTTATGTACTTGTGATGGAAATGACTGTCAAAATGCACCACAATAAATATTAGGTCAATAGCTGTAAAAACTGACAGAGGTGTTTGTTATGGTTAAGTGACTTGAATTGCCAGCTTGAACTGAACTGACAAGTGTGTCAGAGAGTGGTGCAGAGGTTAGAGAGGTGATCAGATGGTTGAAGGTTCAAATCTGCAGGCAAAATGTAGAAGTATTAAGTGAATGACAAACAAAATGTTACAATTAATTTATAGGCACAATAACCTATATTATACCCAAAACTCAWAATGTAACTTATTTAAAGTTACAACCTGTTTCCATCATTTATTAAAAAAATATAGCATTTCTTTTCAACATGAAGCCACAGTGAAGAAAACATCTAGCAAGATTATTGGAAAGTAATATTACAGCCTGTTGTCACTGATCTTGTCTTTATGGCATGATTGCATTAAGGTGTCAAGTCGTTAAATGATTGTGATTGAGTGAAATGCAACTGTACAACACAAACCAGCATTTCTGTGGATCTCTGTTCCTTTCACCTGAAGGCGAATAGTGTTTCCTGTATAGTTCAGTTTAAAAATCTTGAGATCTTTTTAGATGATCAATGTACTTTAGTTCAGATGCAGCTTCTGCAGTGACCTTTACTGCTGCTTCACATCTTTTCTGTTACTCACAGTTTTTTTTAGATGTAATCAAAACTAATTAAAAACCTAGCATTTGTTGAAAGAATGCATATCGTCCGCTGCCTTTTGTACCAGAGTTTTCATCCTAGATCCTTTTATGTTGATAGATGCTTGATCTCGGGCTCTAGGTATAATTTTGTAATGACTCTCAGCTACTACCACATCTAATTTTAGGTTTATATCATTTAAATTGGGTGAATTATAGACAGTTTTATTATGACTAATGTTGATTAGCTTTGGCAGCTATTGGGTTAACTCTGATAATTAATCAACTGTAGATGTCTGATTACTATCAGAATGTTTCATTAAAATCTGTTTAATGGTTCATGAAATATTATGTCAATAGACAACAATTAAGGCTAAAGGTTTAGGCAAAGTACTTGAAGCATACTTGAAGCATGTGTTGTGATTGACTCAGCTACTACCACATCAAACTTTAGCACAATATCTGTATAACTTAGGTCGTATTCAGACCTGATAATTTGCTCCGCTTTAAACGAACCAGAATTCGTTTCCAGCATTGGTCCGGACCTTTTCTGCAGGTGTGAATACACTCATGTGAACTCTGGTGCGGATCAAACAACCGGACCAAGACCTACTTTTTGAGGTGGTCTCGGTCCGCTTCCAAACGAACTCTGGTGCGGTTCACTTCAGTTTGCTTCTGGTGTGAATACAGACCGGACTCTAACCGAACCAACTGCATTAAACATGCACCTTTTTGGACTTCACAGGCCACCGTTGCTGAACTAAATAAACTGAAATCATACCTGTTACGTCGTCTCCTGTTAGCAGCTCTGCTGCCAGCATGTTGTGGGTCAGAACACGCAGTGCACCTTGTTTCCTTTGGGTTGCGGGACACATTTACTGACGCCGCTCCAAAATTAGAATATCATCACGGAACCACCAATAATTAGCTGCTTCTGACATTTTAAATGCTATTGCAGTTGTACTATCAGTAAAAATGTGCGCATCAGAACCGCAGCATGCAGGACTTCCTTGTTTTCTTCTGGGTCTGTGGCTCAGTCCCGCCCCCGTCCTTTTTTTGTCCAATGGGAGCAATAATCATCAGCCTCGTGGCTTTGTTTACAAGTTATAGTTCGTTTGCAAAAAAGCACAATGTGAATGCAAACCGCACCAAATGAAAAAAAAAAAGTCCATTATTGGTCCGGACCAAACAATTGGACCAAAGGACTTTCCTGGTCTGAATACACCCTTAATGAATTGTGAACACTGACAGGAGCATATTCAAACAGCAGGACCTACAAGGTTTCACTGACTACACCCTATCTTTCATCAGACAGGTTAGCGGTAGACAAAAACATCTGGATTTACTTAAACTGGAAGGCCTTGATGACCAGCCAAGCCCAGGTGCTCCAGAAAGCCCGCAACGCAGCCTTCAGTTCGGGGGGCGAGTACAGTACAGTGCAGTCAGAGCAACCTAAGGAGAGGAATCAAGGCTACCAGGCAGCCTACTAAAGGACGATGGAGGATCATCTGGTTAACAATAGTCCATGTCAGGTGTGGCAGGGACTAACGCATCTCATCAATTAAAGTACAACCATCCTGTGGCAGTCACTGTAAATGCCTCCCTGGCTGAGGAATAAAATTATCTCTTTAGCCTTGTGCCTCTGAGCTCTCAGGGGCCATTACAAAAATATTTTATCTCCCCCAGGCACAAGCCTTCATACCACCCTGCCTCACCCTGCCTCAAGTCTGCAACTACAGTGCCAAATGTTCTGAAAGACTGGTGGCACAGCACATCAAGGAGTGCCTCCCCCTTTCCTCAGTACGGTGGCCCATAAGGGTTGACAGAATGCAAAAGACACAACACAAGACAGCACGACAACAGAAACTATAACACAACAACAAAAGCCATAACACAACAACAGAAGCCACAACACAACACAATAACAAAAGCCACAATGGAAGTTACTCCAAAACAGAAGTTATGCTAAAGCAGAATTTGAACATAGAAATTCTACCAGGGAATTCAAAATTTGAAAGTACTCAGGCTAATTTAATACTTGAAACATACTTGATTGAAAAAATGAGTTTTTGTTATATCTTTTATTTTTATTTGACTGCTGTCCAGTCCACATACATACCAGTAGGTGGCAGTAATGCGGTACATGGTTATTTACCAACAGCCAAAAAGAAACTAAAAAGTATAACAAAAAGTGATTCACCAGACAATGGATCACAGTTGTGGAATGTTTTGAACTGAAAAGTTAATTAAATATAGATTTTGTTTAGGTAATGTAGATATGTGCTGTTATAGCCTGGTTTAAACCAGACCCTGTCCTTCACTTTGCTTCGTACAAGGGTCTGGACTTGATGCATAGAGAAGCATTTCTTGTAGGAGGTGTGTGTGAAGCATGTGTGTGTTGTCGCTGTGACGAAGGCTAAGCTCAGAAGCTAACCGGAAATCGTGTGTGCTGTAAACAACCCTACTAAGAGGAGAAATATACTGAGCCGAACGAGACGACTTCAAATGAGAGCTGCGGCTTTGTCAGACAAATTTATTTTAATTTGGAAGCCTCATCAACACAGACTGGCTTCATTCTCTTCCTCCACTGCCATATGCTAAAATAACTAGCAGACACTGCCAGAAAATCGATGTCGTTCAAAGCTCCTCCTTCTGTTTGCTGATTGGCCCAGGTAAAATAAACTACAAGCAGACACTGCTCAGAAAATTGACGTTCTCTTCTCTGATTGGCCCGGCTACAAATCTGCCAGCGAAATCGTTGTCAATGGGAGAAGTCCCAGACGGAGCAGTGAAGGGAAACTAGAATTGAGTGGAGCTGCATAGGAAGGCAAGGGCCAGGCTAGTGCTGTTATAAAGATGAATGCTTTCATTGTGCTGACTTTAGGGTTTACACACAAATCTGAAGTTGGCTTCTGATTGCAACTTCTGATCCACAGACATCACATATGGAGATGCCCTACAGACTGGCACTGCCTATTGGACCTGACGATTCAGCGTGTCACCATCTTGGATGATCCCGCTCGCACATTATTATGACCCCCGCACACGAAGCGTAAGTGGGAGTCATATTGTTTTCGTACAGTTTATTTATTTTTAATTTATTTAATTTTTTTCACTGATTTTTGGTCAACCGTAGCACAAAACGGCTATATCGGTCAACATGAAATTTGGCAGGGCTTTAGATGAGTCTGACCTACACTGCACCAGCCAACGGTTTTACGATACACCCCATATTTGAGGAGGGGGCTCCTTTCAAAGTGGGGGTGTCAGGACATGCAAAATTGCTTATAACTCAGAAACTGTTCAACATAGCTTCAGATTTATTTTGTTGTTTAGCTCTGATGAAGCTCTATCC